GCGTGTTGGGAGGAGAATCATGTAAAGAGCCTACAAAGCTTGTGCAGAGCAAGTATTATGGGTATAGATAAATATATTAAAGTGTATGCAAATCTCTATAAATACTCAAATTAGGGCTGACATACAGCTTCAGTAGTCTCTTTACAAGTTGCTCTAAAGAAAAAGATTTTTTCATCTGAAAAATCTTATTACTGATCTCTGCACAGAAACCATTTAAATTCTCGAGATTTCAGTCTCCTGATAACTTGACGTTGGTGTATATACAGAAACACATTTATCCACCATCCTGTGATCAAAACCACTGCCTGGCTTCACTGGGGGTCTGCATGGTTAGACCACAGTCCATGGAGGGGGAAAAGACAGTGACTATGCCGAAGGGGCCGATTCAGTGTTTCTTCATTGCCAGAAGGGTATGTACAGAACCTTAGGTGGTATTTAAAACTATCTCAGCAGAGCACAAACCAGCAATATAAACCTTGGCAACTCCCTTCAGAGTGATCTGCAGAAATCCCTGGAGATAATAGCCCTTATTAGAGCAGAGCAGAAGCATGCAAATTGCACTCCCAACGACTGTGACTTTCTTTTCAGGTGCTTCTTAATTTGCTAATATTTAAGAGCTAAGTCAAGTTTCTGAACATATATATCTCTTTACATACAGTTGAAACTTTAAATGCTCAGAGCAGTCACACAACACAGCAGACAAAAACAGGTTCATGCAATAAAGGTTAGCATAAATAGAATTCCACAAACAACTGTTTGGTCTCAAAAATCAGGGAAATCCAGGGAGCATATCTGTTGCAAAATGGAGCTAAGATAGTCAGTTGTCTGGGGATTTCTAACATATCAAAACAAAACAAGGTGACTTAAGGACAGTTTAAGGTTTAATTCTAGTCTCCAGCCCTTGTGGCTTTTACTCAGACTGACGTTATTTAAGCACAGTTTATGTTGGCATCTTAGTTTGTTTGAAATGCTACATTTCAAAAGGGGTTGGAAAAGCGATCCACCCTTCCAAAGAATATTCTGAAGCAGTAACAGTGCAACATGGTCACTTATCTCTTAGATAGGTGAACTGCTTAGCAAGAGGCCAGATTATTTACAGTCAGGATCATGCCTGCTAGTGACTTCATTACCTTCTAGGGCTTACTAGCCTCAAGTGAATCACACAATAGCCCAGGTTGGAAGGGACCTTGAAAGACCATCTGGCCCAACGTTTCGTGGGAAAGGAGGCCTAGATGAGATTATCCAGCACCCTGTAATCACATTCGCATGAGAGAAGAAGCAGGTCATTAAAACTCTGTCACTGCCAATATGAACTCCTACTGAAGTGCACCAAGCCGGATGCCAGCCTTTCACAAAACACGCATACTTCTGACACTCTGAATCTTGCTGGTTTTCACCTTGGTCCGCCAACTCAAAAGGAAATAATTGTGGGCAGAAAGCCAGTGCTACCCCATAAAAGAGAACTGCAGCCACAACTGAAACACCTTCTGCATGGGTCCCTCGTGTGTTTTGTGTTTTACCTGTGGTCCATAGGGAAGCTGTTGTCTTGAATGGACTGGGATGGAGGGAGATGGGTAGGGAAAACCCGGTCAGGTTTAGGAGTCTGAGCTGAGTTTGGGGAGGCATGGTGCAGTGGTGACACAGGAGTGCTGGATGGCGTCGGTGGGTTTGAGGGCCTCATTCCCACTTGTGGCTTCTGATCATAGGCACTATCAGTAAGACAAAAGGAAAGAAGGTCAGGTTATTTTCTCTGCAAAGAAAAAGAAGTAGCATCTACGTCCAGAAAAAAAAGCCCCAAGTGTCACATTTATAAGCCTTTTATTATAGTTACCTTATTAACCAGTCTGGGGCGGAGGAATTCTCTGCTTTACATTGTGAAGAGCATAGAAAAAATCATGTTAGAGGCAAGTGGTTCAACGCAGCATTTTCTTCTCTGGGGCACATAAGTGTATTTTTAAAGGATTCGATCTTACAGTGACATTCTAACAGGAGGTATACAAAATATCTAAAAGTAGAAGCACCCGGACTATAGCACGAAGAGTTGGCAGTGCCTGAAAAAGCTCTTTTTTAGAGCTTGCACAAAACACAAAGTTAGACAGTAAAACAATACAGCTAGAGGGAAGGGATCTGACCCAGAAAAACAATGGTATGTTGGCTTAGTTAGCCATACTAGGATGTCAGCAGCCTTTCCCAACAGTTCCCACCCCCACCCCCACCCCATCCCCCAAAAAAATAAAGTGCTGGTCCTACAAATACACAGATGCTATTTTCAAAGGTGTCCCAAATTAGGAAAGGACTTAAGCACAATTTGATCATCTATCTTTCTAAACAGGAAAAATGCAAACATTAGGCAGATAGCAAGCACGAACTTGCATACTTTCCTATGTGAGGTCCCCTAGCACCCATCAAATCCATCAATTTTTGAAATCAAAATCACTCCTCTGTGAGTGGCAAAAGGTGCCACTTTTTTTTCCCCCCCTTTCATATCCAAAAAGTTAAATGTAAATGCTTTAAGTGCTAACAGTTTTAGTAGTACATTCATGAGAATAAAACCTCACAAGCTAGATGAAAGATTCTAAAATAGACCGAAATGTCAATAGAAACCCTTCA